AGTTAATTGAACAATTCCGAGATTTGAGTTTAGTTTGTGAAAGTACTCCGAAGTGTGTTCGTTTGGGTATGTTGAAACTTACTAGTGGTATTCTAGAAGAGATCAGGATCGGGCAGAAATCTGATGTTAATTTAGTTGATAAATTAACATTGATCAACCAAGGTCAAAGTGGTGAGTTTAGAATTGATGAAGATGATGTTATGAGATTTGGCGATAGAGTTTGTGTTCCTGATGTTGCAGAAATCAAGAAGAGTATATTAGAGGAAGGACATCGCAGTGGGATGAGTATTCATCCGGGTGCCACGAAAATGTATCATGATTTGAAGAAATTGTTTTGGTGGCCGGGAATGAAAAAGGAAATAGCTGAATTTGTGTATGCATGTTTAATCTGTCAGAAATCGAAGATTGAGCATCAGAAGCCGTCTGGATTTATGCAACCAATGTTTATTCCAGAATGGAAGTGGGATAGCATTTCGATGGATTTTGTATCTGGGTTGCCGAGGACTCCTATGAATTGTGAAGCGATATGGGTCGTTGTAGATAGGTTGACTAAGTCTGCTCATTTTATACCGGTGCGAATGGATTACTCAATGGAGAGATTGGCACAGTTATATATTGAGAAAATAGTGAGTTTGCATGGAGTTCCTTCTAGTATTGTGTCAGATAGAGATCCGAGATTTACTTCGAAATTTTGGGAAGGATTGCAGAAGGCTTTGGGTACTAAATTGAGGTTGAGTTCAGCTTACCATCCTCAGACTGATGGACAGACGGAGAGGACGATTCAATCGTTAGAAGATTTATTGCGTGCTTGTGTTTTAGAGCAGGGTGGAACTTGGGATAACTATTTGCCATTGATTGAATTTACTTATAACAATAGTTACCATTCGAGTATTGGTATGGCTCCGTTTGAGGCATTGTATGGTAGACGGTGTAGAACACCTTTGTGTTGGTATGAATCTGGAGAGAGTTCGGTAGTTGGGCCAGAGATTGTTCAGCAGACTACTGAAAAAATCAAATTGATTCAAGAGAAGATGAGAGCTTCTCAGAGTCGTCAGAAAAGTTATCATGACAAGAGGAGAAAGAATTTAGAATTCAGTGCTGGAGATCATGTGTTTATGAGAGTTACTCCGATGACGGGTATTGGTCGAGCGTTGAAATCTAAGAAGTTGACTCCGCGTTTTATTGGTCCGTTTCAGATTACGGAGAGAGTTGGAGAAGTTGCTTATCGTATTGCTTTACCTCCGAGACTTGCGAATTTGCACGATGTTTTTCATGTTTCTCAGTTGAGCAGATACATTCCAGACCCATCTCATGTAATCCAAATAGATGATGTACAGGTGAGAGATAACCTGACAGTAGAAACATTGCCTATGAGGATAGAAGATCGGGAAGTGAAACAGTTAAGAGGTAAAGAAATAGCATTAGTGAAGGTTGCTTGGGGAGGTCCAGCAGATGGAAATATCACTTGGGAGCTGGAGAGCCAGATGAAAGAGGCTTATCCGGAACTGTTCGTCTAAGGTACGTTTTCGAGGACGAAAACTCTTTTAGTGGGGGAGAGTTGTAACACCCCAGTTTCATTTTTTTTTGATTTAATTAAATTGGGAGATTATTTTATTAGAATTAATAAAATAAAGAGGAATTATTTATTTTGAAATATGGAGGAAAATAAAAGAAATAAGAAAATGCTGAGTTTTAAGTTATTGGGCTTGGATGTTGTTAGTAAAGAGTGGGGGTGCAAAAGAAGTAAAGATATGTTTTGGAACTCAAGTTAGTTTTCTCATTTTTCACGATAAACAGAAGTTGGGAATTTGGGGAAATAGAGCTCTGAAGGTACGAAGAACGAAGAACATCGCCCAAAAAGAATTCAAAGCTGCTAATTGATAAGGTAAGGGGGGCTATTACTCGGTTTACCTTTGTTTATGGGTTTATGTATGATTGATTTAGATAATCGTAGGGAGAACCCCAATTGTTAGATGTTACTAGGAATCGATACCCTTAGGTTTGAACTTTGTTAGAAAAGGGTTAGGTTCCCAATTTTTATGAATCGATTAGGAATTTTAGGTTCCAAATGGTGGATTGGGAGTATATCTGCATGATCGTGAATTTACCTTAGAGGTTTAGGGATAACCTTAATGTTGTCAGAAATTCCCCAAAAAGGGACGAGTAATCACTGTTAAGGTTACTATAATAATTGTTGGTAATTATGAAATGGATGTGTTGTTTTGAGTTGTGAAATATCGATGTCGTTAGGTACCGAAATGCGCGTTTAGCCGGCAATTTTCCCGCGTTTGGCTGCTGTTTCTGAGCTGCTGCAGGTTCAGGAAAATCCTGTACGCGCTCAGCAACACGGGCCGTGTTGCACAACACGGGCACCCGTGTTGCTCTTCTGTGTTGGGAGATGGTGTGCTTCTGGTTGCACAACACGGGCCGTGTTGCACAACACGGGTACCCGTGTTAGGTTCCCTGTAATGAGAAAAGAAAAATGTGTGTTTTCTGGACGTGTTCAGAGACACGGGCCGTGTTGCACAACACGGGCACCCGTGTTGCTCTGCTGTGTTGATTTTTCTGAATTTTGGTTTTTTGTGCGTTATTGTGGATTTTATTGTCGTGCTTTTGGATAATGTTATTGAGCATGAATTATGATATGACTTGATATGATTGATGTTTAAATAGTATGCTGAGTGATTACATGCTATCCATATCTTGTTATGATTTGATGTTGTTGATGTTGCATGATATGTTGATTGATGTTCATAGTATGCTGAGTGTTACATACTTACATATCATGTTGCATTTGTTAATTCCCATTGTGTGGAATTAACATGGTGGCCAATATACGTGTCCGCGATTTAATGGAACGTTGAGGTGGTAGCCGTGTCCGCGATATAATGGAACGGTGAGTTATCCGTGACCCGAGATTTAATGGGGCGGTAAAGTGGTATCACATGCATGGGTGTGTTGCATTACCTTGAATATAACATGAATGGATGATTTTTCCAATGTTGTATTTGATTGTTAGTATGCACGTATGGTTGCTAAATGGTTGACGATGTTTGATATTAATTTCAAACATGAAAAGCAATATATTATGGTTGTATGAATTGCAAAGGTTTTGTAAACTATGAAAAATGCTAATTATTGGGTGATGCTTATGATTTCCTGAATTGATTGTTATGAACGTATAATCAAATGTATAATTGAGATGCTCACCCTTACTGTTGAATATTTCAGATTGAGGAGCTTCGTTCAGGTGCTTGGCGAAGGCTTGTCGTTCTAGTTTATTTTTCGTTTTAGTATTGTCCGGGTCATGCTCTGATAGTTGTAACTCCGGGAACGTTTGTTTGTCGAGCTGCTTTAGTCAGACTCGTTTATTTCCTTAGTATTTGGTTATAATATAATGTTGATATATTCCAGGTGTTAATCCCTGATGATTGAAAATATTATAACTTTGGTTTTATTAAATAAATTATTCCGCTGTGTAAACATGTATGAGTTACTACTAAGATTATGCATGACAGGAATTGTTTTATTAAAAGAGAATTGTAGCATCCTCGAATTATACATGTACTCTGAAATTATAATTTTAATTATTTGCGAAAATTACTTGGGGTTTTAGAGGGTGTTACACCACTCATACCACAAACATCACATCACCGTAGCTTCCAACAACCATATGGCTTCAACACACCACAAGAAACATTGCCCTTTTTCCAACCCGATTCAACTAACCAGTACTACCAATAAACCTTCAATTTCCCACCACCCCCACCACGACAAAGTTTTGACGGCATGGACAATCGACTTTTTAACAACGGGTATTCAGGACAAAACTGGTGAGCAGACAAATTACATGGATCCTGAACGCATTGATGTATTACAATGGCCATCGACCCAAACACAACAGAAACCTCAAAAAAGGTCATGGATCAACGAGTTTGGAGAGTGTTGTGGTGCGTAACCGATAGTCGTTACAGTGATTCAAAATATTAAAATACATATATTTCTTATTCCCCAAATTTAATAATTTTTTTAGTAATTTTTTTTTGTTAATTAAATATTTAATATTATTTAAAGAAAAACAAAAAAATATTAATGCACATAGACGCCATATGAGATGACGTATCTTAAAATTCTTACACTTAGACGCTATCACATATGAGTACACTAAAAAATTACACATAAATATCATACGACATGACACAACACATTTGCAAACTCAAACTTGATTATTTAAATCAATTTTTTAAAATCTTAATTTTTTACGTAATTAATTTGAAAATATTGGTTGTTGTGGAAAAAAAAATTTATCTCACATTTTTATTCAAAGATACTAGTGTTATGTTTTACATATTTCTTTTATCTCATTTTGTCCTCAATCAAACAAGAAAAAACAATGAATGTAAAAGTTGTCTTATTTCCTTCCATTTTCTCCTTTTTGTTGTTTTCCTGAATTTGTCTAATTTTCTACGCAACTTTCTTTTCTTCTCCTTTCTTTTCTATCATTTTTCTTTTTCTTCATTTACTTTTCACAAACCAAACAACACAACCAAAAAATGATGTCACTATCCTTTCACTTTGTACTTATATTTTATTTTTCTAACATTATTTTCTTCTATTCTTTTTTTAGAGAAATACTCGCCTGAAAACAAACTTAAATTTATATAGTTAGAAAATATTTAATAAGAAAAAAGGTATATTTTAAATTTATTTAAAATTTAATTGATTTTTTAATTAAAATTATGGAGATGATTGTGATAGTATAGGAGAGAGAAAATTTTATTTTTGTTTTTAAAAAAAATAAAAAATAAAAAATTCTTCATGTTCCTTTACAAATACTTTTCATATATATATATATATATATATATATATATATATATATATATATATATATATATATATATATATATATATACTTCCTTTTTCAATCACGAAAAATGGAAAAAGAAAGGGGATAGTTTAGCCAAAAAAGTCTAGTCTTCAAATATTACAAGCATAATCAATCATTCCATTCCATGTTTAGGAAGGAATGGAACAAATTGGTTGAGATTTAAATTATCTAAGCCAATTCTTGATGGTGGTTTGGGACTTTGCCATAATTGGCAGCATTGCATTGCTTCCTAGAAGTTCTTTTCCTTATAATAGAAGGAATGTTCTCATAGGTCATTGCTAAGTTTCTTAGTACACATTCTGGGCTCACATCGCTTTCGTTATTGTTTTCCCTTCCAACATGAACTTTCTTCTCATGATTAACCAATTTTAAGTAGCCCAAATGGGAACTTTCAGATTCATTACCAGCAATAAACTTTGAATCTGTAAAAGAAACCTTGGGTGAATTATAGGACTCATTAGTAGCAGTACCGGAAGAAGGGAAACAATCCATATTTGTTGCAAACAACATAGGGTTGCCGTGGTCTTCGCAACTTATAACTGTTTCCATCTGATTTGGGGAATCAGACAATCTTCTTTCACCTTGTCCTAAGGCCCTAGGAGTTGCCAAACCAAAACTGTTATCAGCATTGTGCTTCAACCAGTGACTTTGCTTGGGAGAAACAATTCCAATTAAACTTTGATCTCCAGCTTTAACCAAATCATGTGATGAATTTACTAAAGTGCAGAAACCAGAGGTGGAAACATTCCTGTCACACCTAATTGGTGATACAGACGACTTCTTCTTCATTGAGCAGTTCCAATGATTTTTTATAGCATTGTCACTCCTGGCTTACACAAATGATACAAACAGTTATCATGTGTCATTAGATACAACGAATATAAGTGTCTGCTTCAAAAATGACACATATATTGATAACTCTAGCATAATTGTTCTAATTTTTAGCCTTCTGTGTTGTGATAGGGCTAATGGGATGCTGAGAAATCCGCTGTAAATTTGTTTTGTTGACATTTTCTAACATAAAGCTAAACATAGGCACATACTCCTAAAAAGGTAAAAATGACTCATTCTATTAAGTTCTTGTTTTTTTTCCTCCTGAAACGGGTTTGTTTTGAACTTGAAGCATATATTTTTAAAGCACAGGTCGAAAAGCCTGCATAACATTATCAGATAAGTACCTTCCAGGAAGAACCCTAGCAATTTCTGACCATTTACTGCCATGTAATCGGTAATAGTGAGCAAGTATTGATTCCTCCTCCTCTGACCAAGCATCCTTTTTTATAGTCGGATCAAGGTGATTATGCCACCTGAAATGATTAACTAGTAGTTCATCTTCTAGCAACATATTTAACAAGAATAAACACATAGATAATAATAATCTGCAAAATATAATATCGTTGCAGCAACCGAGATTATCTAACATATGCATAGAAGATAACCAATCTATAGAAATCCAACAGCAAAAAGCAACAAGAATTGTTTGTGAATAGTAAGAATGCATACAACAGTTGGTGTTAAGGTCTGTTACTGCCTACCTCTCTCGACATTGCTTTCCTATACGACCCGGAATGGATTTTGCAATAAAAGACCATCTCTTGAAACCATACTTTCTTACTAGTTCAACTAGGGTCTCGTCCTCCTGAAAAGTTAAGGACAGAAAGAACAACCAACATCAACAATCAGCATCAGCATTTCAACAAACACAATTTCGCACAGAGAATAATTACAACACGTATAAAGAAAAGCACCTCCTTTGTCCATGATCTCTTTACAAGATCAGGATTTGAAACCTTTTGCCAACGATGGAAGCATTGGACGTCAGTTCGCCCAGGAAGGTACGCAGCTGTAAAAGACCAATTGAACAACCACACTAACTTCATTAGAAATAAAGATTAACTAAAATGTAAAAATATGCAAAGATGACAAATCTCATCTATATATGCTATATATTCCATTGAAATTGAAATTGAAAATTATACTGATGTATTTTCGCATCCACCTATATTTTTCCAGTTGACTCCATCATGCTTCTTGACTGTCTCAATCAAAAGATTATCCTGTTAGTCATAGTCATAAAATTACAAAGTCAGATAGCTTTAACACTGTAAATTCCAACTTCCAATAATAGCCCAGACACTGACACTGACACGTCGACACTGAGACCAAAATTACTATTGATTTATAATTAAAGCAACAAACCTCTTCCTCTGTCCATAATCTCTTTGTCAAGCTAATTAGGGATTTTCTGTTCCTATAAAATCCAAATTACCAAAAAGTGTTAACCAATAATGCAACAAAGTACTACATTTCTAAAAAATTTGACTTCACTTTAAAAATCAAAAGCATCAAGTAGTTGTTACTTACCCTGTAAGAGGAGTTGATTCGAGAAAACAAGTGTTGCTATTACAATTAGGCGAAGAAAGACATAAATGAAGCAAATCTCGATGAGGTGATTCAAATTCAAAATCCTTGAGCTCCTTTTTGACTTTCAACATTTCTCTTTATTTTTCTACCTAAATCAAAAATCATTAACACAAAAATAGCACATAGAAATGATCACATTGGGAACAAAACCATGAATAATAATAATAATAATAATAATTAGCATAACGGATTCAACTTCATGTGTGATTGTTGATAAAGTGATATGCATATACGTTACAGAAAATGGAAAGCGAGTACAAAAATGAAGTAGACGATGATTATGATGATGATTGTGGATTATGAATATCTTCTACTTACTTGAAAATCGATGAGAGAGAGAGAGAGATAGTTTTGAAAGTAGAGAGTCGTGTGAAGATGAAGATGATTGAAGCGGTTTGAAGCGGTTTTAAACTATCTATAAAGTGTTGAGCTTGTGTTGGAAGCTAAACAAAATAGAGAGAGTGTGTGCGCTATTATTTTATAACACTAAATAATAAAAATTTAACGGATGGCTTTGGAATTTACTTTGTTATTATTGTTATCTGATTTAAAGGATTTAATTATTTAGTGAATGAAGCAGTAACCGACATGGGCACTTACTGTGAAAATAACTCAGGTTTTGTATTACATGCCACTCATTAATAATCAAAGATATGAGACTCAATAATCGGAAATTTTCTCATTCAATATTAATAGTGATGCATGCCCTTGTAATACAATTCAAATGTGCATTTTATAATATATGTATGTTAGGATTGGACCCCATGGATTTCTAAAATTCAATTATAATTTTTAAGTTTTGAGAAAGTAAACACCTTCATACTAGCACTTTTATAAGGAGAGTTTAAAAAAACGATTTTCTTTACATAGAGAATCTTTGTTGGAGCAAAACTCTTTATGTAAAAACACAAACACTTTTCACTTGAGTGATGCACACACATGGGTTTGCATAAGCTTTGTGCACACACATGGGTTTGCACAAGCTTTGTTCCTTCTCTCACACACATTTGACACTTAGAGAATTGAAAGAAGAAGATGAAGATGGAAAGGAAGAGGAAAATTAGATTGCACTGCACATTTATTTTTACATGATATTTATATTGAGATTATTTATACATCAAGTAATTAATAAATACTTAACACATATTTCAACCTCTAACTAGTAATACTAATTATGTTATAAAACAAAATTTTCACAGTAAATAGTTTGTTACTTGATCACCAAGTAACCTATTAACACTATGAATTATACATTTTAACAAACCACTCAATTTTGTATTTAGTCTTTCTTACAACTATCATGCTCCTAAGTTTCTTGAACAACTCAACTTGCACAACTATTTGGTCTTCCCTTCTACAATGTTCCGATCATAATCTTCCATTGCTTACTTATTCTCCAGAATAGTAGAACTTCATCTCTATGTGTTTACTCATTCCATGTGCAAAAATACTCTTGACTATATTGATGGTTGATGTGTTCTCAATCTTCGTAATCATAGCTCCATGATATGTGCCTTCAATTTCATCAATCAAGTTTACCAACCATACAGCTTGACAAGTACAAAGTGAGGCTATAATTACTCTGCTTCACATGATGATAAAGTCATAACATGTTTCTTTTTTGAGCTTCGAGCAACTGGTGCATCACCTAGCATTAACGCATAACTTGCTGTAGATTTTCAGTTATCAATATCAACACACCAACTAGAATCATTGTATTTAACAAGCATGCATTCCCTTCCTTCATTTGTTGCTGGAAATAAAACTCCATAGTCCAATATGCCTCTAAGGCAACTCAGTATCCTTTTTGTGACTGTAAGGTGTGACAATTTTGACTTTTACATGAACCTACTCATTATTCTTAGATTATATGCAAGATAAAGCCTAGTGTGACAAAGGTACCTCGGCGATCCAATAAACCTTATATTAAGTTGGATCAATGCCTCTTTCATCTGAGTCCTTTGTTAATTGAAACGTTGGTTCAACTGGTGTTGATGTTGAATTGCAATCTTCCATCTCAAATATCTTGATTATGTCACTAGCATACCTTCTTTGATGCATCGTGAATCATTTACCACACTTGTAGAACTCAATTCCAAAGAAGCATGATATGTTTCCAAGGCCAATCATCTCAAATTTCTTCATTAGGTCCAATTTGAAATCTTCAATTTCTTTTTGTGTAACTACTTGTGATCAACAAGTCATCTACATTTAGGCATAGTATGACCTGTTCATTTTTTTGTTGCTTCTTCTCATGTACACGTCATGCTTAATTGCATACTTTATGAGTCTTATCTCTCTTATAAAACCATCAATCTTCTTATTCCAAGTTCGTGGAGCTTGTTTGAGTCCATACAATGCCTTATGCAGTTTGTAAACCTTGCTCTTCTGGCCTTCTTTTCAAAACCAACTTATTATGACACATGCACTTTCTCATCTGAAAGGCCATTAAGAAATGCAAACTTTACATCCATCTAACATATTTGCTAGTCGTTGATAATGTCTAAGGCAATAACAAATCTAAATGTCTCAATCCTAGCAACTGGTGGAAATACTTCATCAAAATCAATATTTTCCCTATGAAGAAACCCTTTGGCCATAAGTCTTACTTTGTGTCCGATCACTTCACCCTTTGGACTTAGCTTCACCTTGTACACCCAATTCACATCAATTTATTACTTTCCATGTGGTAGATCAACAAATGACCAAGTCTTGTTGACTTATATAGAATCCAAGCTCTTTATCATAACATTCATCCATTTAGGATCCTTCAATGCCCGTGTCACGTTCATTGGCTTAATATTTGCATAAAATGCATAATGTACCAACTCAACTTCATCATTAATCACATCTGGTGTGACTACACAATCTTGCAGTCTGAATGACATGTTTTTAGTGCTTTGAGGCATGTTGGTATATGCATGAGTGTGCACTTCAACTTCATAACTTGGTTCTTCATACATGATTCTCACTGAATATTTTTTGGCACTATTTCCCAATCTCATTCCTTCAATTCGTACATACCCACATCTCTGTTTACCACAATTTTTCTATTCTTTGGACCAAACAACTCATAGCCTCCAGTTGAATGATAATAAATCAAGACCATTTGACTTGACTTTTCATCAAGCTTCCTCCTCAATTGGTTAGGAACATGTATATATGCAATAGACCCAAATAACTTCAAGCGAATCAAACTTGGCTTGACACAAGACCAACATTCTTCGGGCGTGATCCTTTTTAGCCTCTTGGTTGGAGATCTGTTTAAGATGTATATCGCAGTGGTCACAACCTCTCCTATAGTTCATTAGGTAGATGCTTACCCTTCAATATACTTCTCACCATATTCATTATGGTCTTGTTCTTTCACTCTATAGTCCTATTATATTCGGGGTGTATTATAACATCCTTCTAAACCCAAGGAATTTTCGCAATTATTTAAATAAAAAAATTAGAGTAATATCACAAACAAGGGTGTCAAATCTTCACAAAAACATCTTAATAATACATCATGCTCCATAACACGGGTTGCAAAACTCTAAACCAAATAACATGCATTTAGCATCTTCAAATTATTGCAGCAGAAATCATAAATCTCAAAACATCTATAATCCGGATACCTCATGATCTTACCCGTTGATCAGAACCTGTGAAGTGGCTGGAAGATGATCTATAGCCGGGTTGTGATGTCGAGGAGAAAAAAGAGGGTTGTACCTATAAGGCACTTCGACGATCAAGTAAGAGTGGGAACAGGGAGATACAAGTAGAGTATTAGGTGGTGAGTAGTGAATATTCGATACCTGGCCCTCACAGGTGTAAGGGTTTGTATAATGCCCCTAACACATGGCTATTGGTTCCTGATTTCACACCTAGATATGTGGATCCATGAAGTCAGGTAACTGCTAGGACTTGGTCATACCGGGAAGATGTGCCCGTAACTAGCCCTTAGTTCTAAGGAGGGGGTGAGTTACGGGCATCTCTCTGGCCGGTTCCTAGTGGCCTACACGACGTTGATGTCAGGCAGGCTGAGAAAATGTTCGTCGATCATCCTAGATCGGTGCTGGCTTGGGAGGGAAAATGGTCAGTATTACCCGAGAGATAGCGGGCGGTTCGGGTCATGGACGTGCATTCCGCACCAAAGGAAAGGTCTAGACTGGGCTCATTCAAAGCTGTCGGGCCAGTCCAGAATAGATAGTTCAAGACGCTTCCTCTGGTTCAGTCAAGGTCGCCCGAAGATTTATTATGATATTTATTCCAGTTGAAGTCAACAGTTATTTAGGATGGCATATATAAGCCCACCTCCGAAGATTCTCCGTCACCCCTCCAAATGGAATCTCTAATCCAATTCCCGTTACAATCGACCAATAATGTTACCTCTTGCACATGCGAGTGCAAATTTCTGGGCACTTAAGTGTTCAATCCTCTTCTACCTTCAAGTCACGAATGGAGGACAAGCCAATCTAACTCCTCAAGTTTAGGAAGATTTAACAGGGACAACTGTTGTACCCCAAAAATTTCCCTCCCACTTTTCCTCAAAGCATTCTTTCAACGCTCTTCAAATAGTCAAGGCACTCAAGGGTTGACTAGTTAAGATGCACCTCCTAGACCAAAGACCCATAACTAGAGTTTGGAATTTCTCAAGGAAATTTGGTTTTCAAAGGTAATAAGTGGCTTCCATGGTTCTTCACATGTGCTCAACAAGGTTCATGTTAGGTTTCAAGCCCTACATCACAATTTTGCTCAGTCAATGGTTCAAATGCTTAGAAATCAACTATATTGGTCAAAAAGTCAACTGTGGTCAATATACAGTCAAACTTCAAGATTTTTGGTCAACATCAACATTTTGAAGTGATACTCATCATTTGATCAAGGGTTTATCATTATTCCTCAAGGAAAATCCTCATATCATCAAAAGTCAAGAATTGCCAAATTAGGGTTTCCTTAGGAGAAGTCAATTGAACTTTGATCAGGCATAAATTTCACATGCTTCATCAAATTTCCCAACCAAAGCCCATTTTTAAAAATATTCAATTCTCTACAACTTTGCTTTTATTCTCAAGTCCAAAAGATGCTTCATTTGGAAGACATGATCTCATACATTATAGGTCATTTTCAAAAGTCAACAAAAGACACTTTTTGTCAAGGCAACTTACATAAAGATAAAGTCTTAAAAAGCAAAAATTACCAACATAGAGATTGTATAGGACATCTCGGGATTTCCAAAAAGTCCAATATCATATTCAAAAGATGAAAATTGAGCAAGTTATGAGTTGCACAAGTTGGGGAATTTTGAAGAAATTCAAGAAGTACAAATTGAGAAAAATTGCATTTCTAGACCAATGAGCCTAGTTTTGGAGGTTCAAACATGTCCCTAATATGTATGAGGACCTATAAGTCCATTTTGGCATGGCCATGACTTTATTTGTATTTTATCTTGATTTTATTTGATTTAAAATCATATAAATTAAATAAAGATGCAAGAAAATATGGGACATGGCATTTGGGCCTGACTTGACCCCTCAAGGGGGCCCAAAATTCGTGCAAATACATGACATAGGTCTAGGTTCATTACATGTCAATAATGGAAAGAGAATAATTCAAAAAAAGGCATGTTTTCAATTGGTTTAATTTTGGTTTTAAACATGGTTTGGTGGCTTGATTCTAGCCATATTAGTGGAGCCATCCTATTCCTCTATAAATATGCAAGCAAATCATATCACAGGACACACACAAGCTCCATAAGAAAAAGCTACAAAAAAATTCTCAAAATTATTCAAAGTTGTGAAATTCGAAACCAAGGTTACAACCTTTCTCCATCCAAACTCGTGCCATATTTGCACTCTTGAGGTTCCCAGGAGTCATCTCCAATCCTCACCTTAGCCTGAAGCACATCAAAATTCGTCCGTCCAAACAAACCGGTCGATAAGGTTTTCCCAAATTTGTATTTCATGATCCATGCATATTTAACCATTTATGTGTTTCTATTTGTGTTTATGACGGAGTCTGGAACAAGTTTGAACCTTTAGATGAGAGTTTCAACGTCACGAATGTGTGTTTCCATTGTTAGGGTAACATGAACTGAGTTCTTAGGATCTCATCATACGTTGCGCTTCAAGCCAAAAGAATGACATTTTTAGAATCAGGAGATGTTTTTCATGCGATCAAGACGTTTTGTTTTTGTGTTTCCTTCGTTTTTGCAGAAACGGCCATGGACGTCACCGGAGAAGAAGGAGGTCAACCACCGTGAATGGTGGTTTGACTCTCCCGGAGCCAACGTGTCCAGATCCTTGCATCTGATTAGTCCATTCAAAACCAAACATGGCCCACTGGAGCGCGTATTTTTATTTTTAATAATTTCTGATTGATGTTAATATATAATATTGTCTTATTATTCTGAATAATGAATGAACAAGTGGCATGATGGTGAAGAGCATGTGTGTTAGTCTGGAAGACATGGGTCTGATTCCAGGTTTTGCAATTTTGTTTCAACAATTGTTCTTTTTTTGCAGATTATTGAAGCGTTTGGGCCTTTAAGTTGATGGGCTTAAGGGGCTTCAGATCCATACCCCCGCTTTCTTGAGAGGGGCTTGTTTCTCTTTTTTGGCCTGAAACAAAGGAAAAGCTATTAGTTGGGAAAAACACCGGTTACTATACATATATACAAAATGCGTGAGGCGCGAAGGCGAACCTGGAGTTTCTTCTCTTCGATATACAAACTAGCCAAAGTGGAAGCAAAGTGGGTAATATACAAACTGAAACACATAGTGCAGTGGTTGAGTGCATGGCTTGCAAGTAGAGGGTGCAGGGTTCGAAACCCACCTACTGCATATTTTTTAGTAATGCAAAGATTTTATACAGTCACAAGCCACGCCTGCATCTCAAATGGAATCTTGGACTAAAAGGTTTTTTATTTTGGAATCTATATTTATTAAAGGGAATTTTTTTTTTAAAAGGGGGGTAAATCAAAACTCACTTCTATTGCAGGAGGGTAAAGTGCATTTAACCCTAAATTATATTTGGACAATTTGTCTAAACTCTCCAAAATCTTCCAAACCCTTCCTCCAATACAATTTTTTAGGTCTCCAAATTAAATATAAACCCCCAACCATTACTTTAAAAAAATAAAAGTTTCAATACACAAATATGTTTCAATTCTAAAAGTGTTGGTATGTGTGAAAGATAAAACAAGAACACAGTTGAAATGAAAAAAATATCCTGCATTGCATGAAGAAAAAGTTACAACAAATCTATTATACAATAAACAAACTCGCCATATTTATATAATCTATAGTTATTTATCATTACTAACTAACTATCAAGAACTTATAACAACTTATTGCAAGTTAGTTATTGATAATCTAAGCTAAAGATCACATCAAGGGTTAAGTTTACTTGTTAAGCAAGCAATTGTATCAACCACCGTTAATTTCAATGCTCTATACCTAGATTGCTTTGAAGGTTGTTTAATGACCCTATATGCATTGACTTAGTCATGATGTCATCCACTTGATCTTTTGATGCAATAGAAACCAAGTGAAGAACTCCTTCTTAGACCTTGTCTCTCACAACATGGCAATCAATACATATATGCTTAGTTCTCTCATAAAAAACTAGATTTGCAGCTAAGTAGAAAGATGACTTGTTGTCACACTAAATTCCAAAGAAGAAGTATTTGGTGTGAAAGTTTTGCAGCTGGTATATGATCCATTGACCCTCACATGTTGTCTGAGCTAGTGTTTTATATTCAGCCTCTGATGATGATCTGGAAACTACATTCCGTTTTTTGCTTTTACAACTAATTGAGGAGGTTCCAAGGAAGAAGTTCAGATCAGTTGTAGATCTTCTAGTATCAGGACATACTCCTCAATCAAAATCAAGAATCTTTTAAATGTCAATGTTGATGATAGATCGAAGAACCAACTGCCATACTCCAAATTTGTTCGTCTTAATTTTCTACAGTCAAATGATTTTCAAAATTGATTTTTATAAATTTCTTTAGTTTATTTACACTAACATTTTGAGTTTTATAAATATTCGTTTTCAATTTATTTTGCTTATTTACAAAAATATAATAGTTTACTTTAAAATATTTATATTTCTTAAAATAGCAAATATCTTTCCACTCTTTATATATTTTCAAGTGCTTTTTAATTTGAATAAATGAGATAGCGCAATTGATAAAGAGGAAAGACTTGTAAATGAGAGGTCTCATGATGAAGTTCCACCTTTTTCCATTTTTTTTCTTGGTTTTTGCTTTCATTTTCATTTTCTATTTATATCATATTCAAAAACAAAAAGAATTAATATTACTTTTTTTAAATTATTTTTATTTATTTTCATATTTTTTAATAAGGTAATTTTTAAAATACAAAAAAAGATTTAAAAAGATTTAGTTAATACTTCTAAATATTGCATAATCCTATTGTTTAGGAAATAATCAATATAATTAATTTAGAAAATTTGATTTATTAATTAATTATTGATTTTTTGTTCTTTTTGTTAACCTAAAATTTTAGTATAAATATGTGACCTTTTCCACTCACAAAACATCAACAATCATCAACAGAATTCAGGATTTCTCACTCACACACAATTTCCAACATTCACTCTTCTCTGTTTTATTTATTTATTTTAACCAATGATTCTCATGAAGCTTTCTTTCTTATTTTCAATTTCTTTTAATTTTAAATTAATTAATTTTTCTCTCATATGATAATCTTCTGATGATATAGATTTTTTTCAAAAAGTATTTCTTAGCCAAGTTAACAAATTCTTAACAATATTCACTTTTGCTAAACCTGAATACTACTAACATACATTTTTTACAAGATAACAATAACCATTATTTACCTGTAATTATTAGGTTGTAAATTATTTACCAATAATTCTACACTGCTAGTGTAACATTCAACCACCTTATCACACAATAAAGAAATCCTCATTTTTCAAGAGCCAATCTCTCTCAGTTTTTTCCCTCTGTATCTAAAATTATAGATACACACATTTATATTTTCAATTCACCACTTGTGTACATATTTTTGTTTCTTGTATTAAAAATAAATATACTTTATAAAGCATAATCACTTTTCAACATGAATCTCCATCCTGAACAAAATCTTGTTCTAATTCTTATCACTTCATTTTTACCAGCAAATACATATTGACAGTGACACTAGTATTACAATAACAACATTTGTTTTTTTTCTTTCAGGATAGATAATAACTAAGGAGCTGAAAACATAACTGTTAATTTCAATATGCAACACCTATAAGTGAAAGAAACCGAAACAAAACAAATTGGATTTCCGGTCACATCAGCTTCACACCGCAGCATAGTATCACGATTCCACCAACAACAACCGCAAAACCGACGAAACCAAGGAGCAGCGCATCACCTCCGTTCGCTTAACGCAAAGCCACTACAGTCCGAAGCCCAGGAGCAGCGACCAACCGCAGCCCCACGCTCAGCCTCTCCCGACGTCAACACCACAAATCCGACTACTCCGGCCGTGACTCCGGCAACCCCAGGTTCCATCTCTTCTTTATTTATCGCTGTTTCATGTTGATGTTTCTGTTATTTGAAAGGGTTTGCATCAAAGGTTGATTTTTTTTTTTGTTTTAACGAAAAGAGAAGTGTTGTGGTGTTTTGCTGTAATGATGAGAGATATTGAGAAATTTGGGGAAAACTGGAAAAGGGTCGTGTGAGAAAGATGAAGGAAATAAGGTTTGGATCTAAATGTCACTTTCTCTCTCTCTCTCTTCAATTCCATGTTATAAGCTCATTTATATTTTATTTATTTATTTATTTTCTTCATCTTTTTGATTTTTTTTATTTAATTTGTTTAGTGAGATTAAGGAATTTTTTATAGTAATAATCAGGTATTAAAAAAGAAAACACAAATAATCATATTTCAGAAAAAATTATGTAAATAACAATGTTTCAGAAAACTTCACAAAAGAGAGGTCAATTGAGTTAGCGCATACACCTAAAACTAAGAAGGAGGCGCCAAGTGAGATGGCGCCTAGGTGCTAAATGATTGCTCTAAGCCATCTCAGATGGCGTCTAGGTGCAATAGATCTACAATTTTTTTTTGCTTTTTATTTTAAATGCGAGACAATAGTTAAACGATATAACTTCACAAAAATTTGACTTTTCATTAACAAAAAACGATTACATAATGAAAAAAATCATACAAAATAATTAATGGGGGGTTTCGCATCCGCGTGATTCCGCATCCGCGTCCTCGCCTATCTCGTGGCGAGTTTCGTGAGTTTCGTCGAATTTTCTGTTGCGGCAGGGTTGATGGCCCAACGAAGTTAATGCGTTCGGGATCCATGAAATCGGTCAGATCACCATATCTGAAAGATCCACTTTGGTACAATCATTTACCCATGCCCTCAAAGTTTGGTCGTCTTGGTGGTGAGTGAGGTTCCATGGATGGTCTATAGCACTGGTCGTCTGAGTAGGTAGGGGTAGAAAGGAAATGAATTTTCGGGTGTTTGGTATTGTGACTGTTGGATGCTATAGTGATGTGGTGGTTGATGGTAAGTTGGGTCAATTGGGTCATATTCTTCGAGAAATCCAAGATCAGGGCTAAGGTTAGATGTTGAGGGACCCACATTGGGATATGGAGAAGACTGGAATTGTGTGTGGGGCATGTGGTTGGTGTTGGTGTTGGTGTTGAGGTGGTGATTGTGGTTGGGTGTGAGGCATATGAGTGTATTCGTATTGTGGTGGTGATTGTGACTGAGTGGTTGTGGATCTGTATCGTCGGGGTGGTTGGTGGGAGGTTGATGTGTGTTGGGTTTGTTGTTGGGGGTTTGAGGTTTGTGCCTATTGTGTTCGTGGGTCAACCAAATACCTCAGATGAGACACGTGCATTTCTGGGTTACTAACTGATATGTACCAAGCAAAATATTGATCCGTGTGTCGCATATTATTCCGGTTGAGGAAAACAGGGAATTACAAGACATGTTGGTGACGCCTATGCCACATCTTATACCATTCTGGAGCAAAATCTTTCTAATTAGTAAGACCCTATTGGACGTCAACCCTTTTGAGATGACAGGGGATAAACAAGTTAGATCGCATGGTATCTCTTGATGTATTCCGAACTGCATCTTGACACGGTCGCTTTGGTGCATCTCCACAATGTTGAACCGTATGATTGCAGTCTTTGCAGTCCAAACTGCTGCATCCTCGGGGTTTGGTTCATGGTCCAAACTCAAATATGGTCTCCAGATAAACTGTGGATAAAATTAAATCAGAATAAAGAAAATGTAATAAATAAATAATTTAAAAGTAGAAAAGTTCAAAGGTACGACGTACATCATCTGAGCCAAGGTGATCCAATGAATTACGATATAGAGCGACATTGAATCTTGGATTCTTGCCGTAATCCTTACCCGTCACGTAGTACCTAAAGGAATTGTAAATAGTTTATTTTAAACATATATTTGACGAATGGATGAATAATAAATGATTTAAGTTCTTGACTTACTTTGTTGCGTATGCGAAAACGAATGCGTTGTTGTCGACAGGGTTTAGAGACTCAATTCTCCACTAACCCCAGGCTTGGAGTAAGAAAGCGCATCCATAAAAAGTATATTTTTTCTTTGTTGCATTTTTACACAAAGAACTGTATAGATGGGCTAAAACAGCAGAACTCCAACTATACTTTCTAGTTTTTTTAAAGTTCCTAGGTAAACTTAAATACATAAAATTTACACTATTCCCCGTACTTTCGGGAAATAACAAGCTTCCAAACAGTATCATCATATAATTTCTAGCTTTTATTACTCTTGCTAGCTCGGAAGAATTTTCGTTCAACTCAAGAGTCGCATAATGTTTTTTGAGTTCAGTTAGTAATATACTTTGGCCTCCAGTAACACCACCTTCAACCATATCTTTGTCCAACAATTCCTTGCATATAGAATTGGGCTATTGAACCAACCCGTTAATCGCCTTACCATCGATAGGGAGACCCAATAACATGCACACGTTCTCTAGTGTGACGGTACATTCACCTATTGGTAGATGAAATGTGTGTGTCTCGGGTCTCCACCTTTCCAACATTGTAAATATAAACTTTGAATCAATCGTGCAGTTTGAGATTTTTATAGAGCAATATAGAGCAATGTAGTTGTGTGAGCGAATTCTAAATCTTTTAGTATCCTAAATTCAAAATGTAAAAAGTGTAAGAGTCCATAAGATGACTAAATCAATAATAATATTATAAAAAATATATAATTATACAAGAATACTTGAGAATTTATAAAAACTTACAAACGCTGCAATATTGTCCCTTGTGCCTATGTGAGAATCGCCCATTGTAAGAAGAGTCATAGTTGAAATTGTATAAGACAATGAAAGAGTTTATATTAAAGAGTGAGATGATTGTTGATGCAAAACAAGTATGTGAGGCGTTGTATTTATATGCGAAATTGTATTAGAGTGAATAACTGAGGTGGTTGGTAGTTGCATGCATGCATGATACGTGTCACTCATGCGCCAAGTCAAATGTCGCCTACATGCAATTTAGAGAGCATGCACCATTCAACTTGGCGTGGGACATGCCTAGCTGTAGCATAAGTGGCAGGCTAGGTGCAGGCTAGTGGTGACATAGGTTGCAGCATATGTGCAGGTTAGGTGTGGGCTAGGGGAAGGCTTTTCTGCATGCATGTAATATGATTGGACATGTAGGGAGGCATCATTTGACTTGGAGAATGAGTACAAAATTGAAAGGTGTTGCCATTCCAATTGGCGAATTAGTGGTGGCATAGGATGTAGCGTAGGTGCAGGCTAGGGGAAGACTTTTCTGCATGCATGTAATATGATTGGACATGCAGGGAGACGCCATTTGATTTGAAGAATGAGTAAAAAATTGAAAGGCGTCGCCATCCCAATTGGTGAATTAGTGGTGGCATAGGTTGCAGCGTAGGTGCAAGCTAGGGGAAGGCTTTTCTGCATGCATGTAATATGATTGAACATGTAGGGAGGCGCCACTTGACTTGGAGAATGAGTACAAAATTGAAAGGTGTCGTCATCCCAATTGGCAAATTAGTGGTGGCATAAGTTGCAGCGTAGGTGCAGGCTAGGTGCAGGTTAGGGGAATGCTTTCTTGCATGCATGTAATATGATTGGACATGTAGGGATGCGAATTAGTGGTTGCTTATTGTTGTATTGTTCAAATTCAATGCAACCTATTTAATCCTACATGTATCAAAACGCTTCTACACTCAATCACTTAAACACTAGAACATTCAAACAATCAGACACTCAAACACTCAAACACTTAAGCACGCAAACCTTCAAACATTCAAACACAATGGCCTATACACCACAATACGTTATCAATGCACATTTCAACGGTAAGACGTACATTTGTCCCACCTCTGGGTTTTTGTTTAGAGACACTGAGAACATCCGATTTTGTTTAAATAGGAAAGTCAATTTCTTGTATTTCAAAAAACGATTGAGGTCAAACTTGGACGAGGTCCAGTGACATAAATCTTCTATCAAAATCCTTTTTTCTTTGTGAGAACCAAATAATACATTATAAGGTTGAGGTTCAAGATGATGAGGACTTTCAGAATATATTTTCCAATCATGAGTATTCTGGGTACGACTCTATTGAATTGTACATTGTGTTGCGGGAGCCTCAACTGTCATGACCAACTCAGTCACAAGTGGTTGATCCTCTCGAAGATGAACAAACAGAAGTAGATGTAGTTGACGAAGAAGAGGAATATGACGAGTTAGAGATTTGACTGCATGGTCAACGATAATTCTGAAGACGATGGGATACCTGGTATACCTTTGAATGATATTTACACACCACCTCCACACATGACAAATTTCAACATGGACGGAGATGAACCGTCATACAACGTTTCTCATTCTTATTATGGTTTTAATCTCATTTTTTAATGCAAACGTTTCTCATTCTTCTTCTCCTTTTCATCCCATTTATTAAAGCAAATGCAGTGACTCCTCATTTCTCATCTTCCACTTCCAGCAGAAGATATGTTTTCTTCTTTCCCTCTTCCACCGTCATCTGCAAAGCACAATAGTAAAACTTCCTTCCTGCATGTCATTCATTTCGTTATTGTTCATCTGTTTTTGTTATTGGTTTGTTCTTTATTCTTCTTATGTGCATGTTATTTATTTCTACCAAATACTTATATAGTTGTGGTGTCTGTTTCTGTTTTCAGATCCGGAAGCTGGAGCAATCGTTTTTTCTCCCAACATTTCATTTATTTTACCTTTAGTTGATTTTTGTAACAACAATGCGCTATCAGAATAGGTTTTGAAAAAACCCATATTTTCTTTCCTAAACATCAAACAAGTTTCGAAAACAAATCCAATGCACTTCAGAAAAGCATTGAAGCTTCGGAAGAAAAAATCATGAAAATAAAAAGGAAGAACATGAAAATAGATTAGAGATTAGTTTTTATTGGTGTTGGATCTGCCATATTGCATGAAGTAGTTGACACAAACAAAATGCATGGATCTTTCAAAGTGAAATATTTATTGTTCTTAATTTTTATCGGTATTGTAATCTCCATATGTATTCTTCTATCTCATATTACAGGTCTGCAATTTGCAAAGGAGAAGAAACATGTCCAATATAAAATTTGAAAATTCAGAATCAG